AGTATCTGAGGAGTTATGAATCGTGCTGAACATTGTGCAATCATCCAATGAAGGCCCTGAAGATGGTTTGACCTAGGGCACTACTCTCAGGAACTGCTACAGAGATAGCCTGGAGCTGAGATGATTGACCCCCAACTAGTACAACTATCCTCCTACGTGCCAGATATGACCCCAACTAGTCGAGAGTTTACCCCAGTTCCATTTTGCTAGGGCTCCTTGACGCCACACTCGGTTAAATGCGGCCTTGGTGTCAAGGGCTATCAATCTCACCTCACCTCTGGAATTCAGATCTTTTGTCCATGTTTGAACCAAGGCTGTAATGAGGCCAGCAACTGAATGGACCTGGCAAAACCCAAAGTGGGTGGCAGTGAACAGGTTATTGCAGAGTAGGTGCTGCTTGATAGCACTGCTGATGACACCTTCCATCACTTTTCCATACGATCAAGAGTAGACTGATGGGGCGCTAACTAGCTTGGTTCGATTTGCCTGCTTTTGTGTACAGCAAATACCTGGGCAATTTTCCACACTGTCACAGCAGATTATTTTTTGATTGGGATTATCACAATCTCCTGATGGAGTTCCAATAATTTGAGATCATAATCTCTGTCTCTACTTTCTTTCTAGACAGCAATGGTTTGACTTGATTTAGTTTTTCCCATTTACACCTCCTCTAGACTCCAGCCCATTATTTTTTGCTCCTTTATTTATTTCATTATCACTTCTTTTTGACTTGCACCATTACCCCTTTTATGATTTTATTTCTCCTTCCCTTCACCTGAACACAAATTTTCCTTCCTTTTGCCATTTTCTCTCCGCCGCTGCAACATGTTCTAAACAAGATCATTTCTTTTAAATTCTGATGAAAAGGTTATGAACTTGAAACATTAGCTGTTTCTCACTCCACAGGTACCGCCTGTTATGCTGCTTATTTCCAGCATTTGATGTTTCGTCATTGAATCCAACAGCATAGAAATTATATTTCAAATTTCTGGCATCTGCAGTATTTAGCCAAGTAGTTCTACTTTTCAGACATCACTGATTACAAAAAAAAACTTAAATGAGTCCTAAAATAGCCACACAGTGGAAGCAGAAAGCTTTTTTTGACAATGGAAAATGAATGTTCCCACAGGATGCCATTTTGAGTTCCATGGTTTAGTAACAAAAGCTCCCTGGAGAGACATTCTCGTGAAACTGAGCTACAGATTCAAAGACATTATGGACACGTATTTCCTATACATTTATAGGTTCAATGCAAACATCGGTCCATGTATCTCAGATGAACCAGATTCACAGCAAATTTCAGCTACAGTTTTCTCGTCTATTTTTTAAACAAAGCTGCTTGGTGGCATTATCACTTGAAGCGCTAGTTCCAGTCCATGGTAACTGTAGACACAAATTCAGTGTCCACCGTTGATAAAATTATCTCTTTTGAGTCAAGTGAAAGATAAACATTTCCCCCTAAGACAGGCCGAGTACATTGTAGAGAATGGTCATCTCCAACTGAAGTCACCATCCCAAGCTGGAAGTTGAGGCAGTCATTTTTTCTTTTCATTAGAAACATTTTAATTCAACAGGTAAGCGGAGAATGATGTGCAGGTGCAGTATATAGTAAATTCTCTTAAAACGGTTTTTAAATATAGGTCTTTGATAAAATATTTCTATGCACAAACTGCACAATCTCAGCAATTTTAATACGGAAAGCCGCTTTGACAGCCTACTGTTTAGCTGATAGTTTGCATAATTTTTTTTTTAAGAATGGGAGTCTTTAACAAATTGGCATACATTGAGCTCAACTCAGCAGTACAGAGCTTTATGTGCATCATTTTGGGAGATTTTACAGTGGAGAATGCATTCCTTAATAAATTCCTTGAGCAATAATGCTTTAATGTCTCATATTGATGGAGTATGAGACAGCTGTTACAGTTATTGGTTGTAAAAACCCACTGAAACCAATATATGTTTGTGTCATTTTAGTCCTTTGAAAAATATGTAATTTATGGAGCAATAAAGTGGCTAATTATTTGTGCTGTAGAAGCTGTGGAAATATATACTACTCAAAACATTTACCGCCAAAAAATCTGTAGTTTTTAATTACTAACAGTACGCTGACCCTTCAGTTAAAGAGCTACTAGTTGCATTAAAACTTCAATTACACAAGAGCTTTGAACTAAATTGGCAACTTAGCTCAAAAGGTGACTTAAACACCAAATCAATATTTACTGTGTGCTGTGACTCCATCTACTAATAAACCTAACCAACGCTGCCAAATTTGGGAACCAGTGACCATTGTCTGTAGTGAAGAGTGTTTGAATTAAGTCTGTTCATGCAGATAGCATGGGAAAATTAATAACATAATAGTAGAAAAAGGGACAGTGAAACACCATCAGGATTCACTACTAAAGGAGATGTACAGCAGCTAAAAAGGAAACCCACTCCTTCTGCTTATAGTAGAAGTTCCAAGGAACAAGGCAAGGTCTTAATGAGGATAGTGAACAGAAATTTTCTGCAATTGTTTAGAAAAATGCTGCTCTCTGCAAATTAGCCTGTATACGTGTGGGCTTTAAATGTGTCACTCTCTGGTGCGTATCAGCCATGGTAGATTGTGCATCAATGAAAAGTCTTGCCAGTTTGAGGTATTTTCTGCGCAAAAGCTTCGAACAAACACAACCACTGACAAAACTGAGGTAAAGTCTGAAGAAGTACTATCATGCGTCCTTTTACTCAGGTTGCTTCAAACCAACAATCTGATTCAGTGATTCTCAGAGACTTTATGGAATGGACTCAGCCTCTCTCCTCATTACCTGAACATTCTTAGTTGTAACTCTGTAAAAATACAAAACACCCTTCATTTTCTTTTCTTCCCACCTCTCCATTTTCTCTCTTCAAATCCTCCAATTCTGTTTGTTGCTCCCCTTCATTTCATTTGTTTTTCTCTTCTCCTTCAGTGTTGTTCTCTTTCATTTTCTGATTTCATTTCCTAATTTCTCTTTTCTATTCTTCCTTCCCTCACTTTTTACCTTCCTTACCTCTTTCAGCCCAAAAAACCTTTTCACCTGTAACTGTTATCCAGGAAACAGTATGAAGACAAAGGAGTCAGAGCCAGACATCAACAAATAGCAAGGCTTTCATGCATGCAGAGCAGTAAGGTATAATATTCAGTGGAGACTGATATGTTAATAAACTGTTTGGAATAAGGCTTTGATACAATTCAAGGGGCAGGACTTACACAAAGGAGACCAGAGGAACCAAAAAAAAATCATTTCTTAAATTTTATCTGGGTCCATCGAGACTGATGAGATTGTATTGACTTGCTATATGTGCAATTTAGGCTGCAGACAGAAATTGCACATCAGGCAAGTTATAAATTTTTATTCTACTAACTGAACAGTTCCGAAATCACAGCATAAAAATTCCTTTTAATTTCTGAATTGATAATGCTTCTTTAAAAAACTGGGAAGTCACAGTTTCCTCAAAGAAGACAGGATTTGACCTAATGAAATTAATGAGGTGGTTATGGCACCTACCTTGCACTAAAAGAACACAAACTAAAAGAATTCTATCAATTTCTTTTAAAAAAGAAAAAAAAGTCAACGCAAGTTTGAAAACTATTGGCCTGTTCCCTCACGATACAATCCATGCCTTCCAGAAATGACAGAATTCCAAGCACAGCTTGAATCGAGACACAACACAGATCCAAGGTTTCAATATTTTCCACTATGCCTGCCAATAAGCAAATAATGCACGAACAGGAGAAGTGTCAGAATTCACATTTTATTTTTGTTAATACATGACACTAGCTCCAACATCTGCAACAACCCAGAACCAAATGAATTTGACACATTCTATTCAAAATCCTGTTCCTGGTTTTGCTGTTGCGAGTGACTGAAGGCTTAATCAAGGGAGCAGGCAATTCATCAATCCCAACAAACCTGCTTCCTGATGCCTGACAGCACCCACATGTTTTTCAAGAATAAACCTGCCCACCTGTCAATACCACCATAGTCATAAATATAAAGCATATGATTAATGGTAAATGTGTTAATTTACAAAGTTTCAGCTATTTACAATACCTCCCTCCCTTAGAAGCAATTAGAACCATGTCAATTAAAAAAAAGTCAACTTCTCACAAAAATATTCTTTCTTAATTCTTCAATGATCTTTTGAATGTAAAACCCAATAGTTCAAATAGAATACTACAATTACGCTCCGATGCTTGATATCAATTGGAAACTTGGAATAAAGGTCAGTTAGAAAAAAGTCACCAAAACATAGAACTCACTGAAAAAATACAATAGCTTTAAAAATCCAAAGATCAGATCAAAATATCTATTTTTTTCACCTCCATTTGTTAACCATTCAACTAGTTGTGCCCTATACACTTCACCCTGATACCTGTGCAATCCAAATATGAACCTGACAGTTCAGAATTCGTTAACTTGTTAGTCTTGCAGGGAAGAAAATACAAGGAATTCTTTACATTTTGTTTGTATGATTGTTTTTCAGAACACAGGAACAAACTTTTTTTTGCTGAGAAACAGACATAAAATAGCATTTTGCTTGACAGTTGCAAGTTTCAAATTAGTAACAGTGGGAGCAAATAAGGCAGTCTGAAAATAAGGTAGAGGAACCACATACAATAAAATATCATCCTCTTGGTTAGTGTCTCCTTAATTTTTGTACATAAATATTCCCTATAAATGTGAATAGATAATACCAAAAAAAAAATTCCCTGTAGCACTTGAGGTCAAAAGGGTGAGCAATGAAAAGAAAGCAGTTGGATATTATTTGCATTACATTACACTAATGTCTTCAGGTGACTTCACAGCACCCCGTAACTTTAGCCATGTAACTGTATTGCAAAATTTTTTTTTGCTTTGTGGAATTAATCAAACAGTGCCATAAAAACAGTAGTTCCAAAATATGCTAATAATGTACATAGTAGCATTTAACCTGAAACAAGTGCATTTAGGTGCTGGCTTTCCACGTGCTGCAACACTCACCTGATATAGCATACAGGTTGGAAGTCTGGTGTTCAAAGTCAGGTCTTGTGCCATGCATCTTACCTCGGAAACTAGCAGGAAGTGTCAGGGATATGTGCCTGAATCAAGACAAAATCATATTTCCCATCAAATTAGGAGACAGTTTCAAGCCAGAAGTCTTTCTGGCCATTTTTTTCTGTTTTTAAATGTAGATTAATAAAAATTATTTCTTAGTAACTACTGAAGGTCAAAAAACTTGGTCTTGAAAACGGAAACAACAGCAATGTGTTTGATCATTTACTCTTGAAAATCAGGTAATTTTACATGATCACAATGACTGAGTCACAGTACAGAAGAAGTTGTTGCAATCTATCTTTTAAGAAGAGGCAAAGGAAGAGCCAAGATGTTGGTTTTGGTCATTCTTAATTTCAACACAAAAGATTGAATTCAAGACACTCTACTGGGACTTAAGCATACAATCTAGGCCAACCATTTAGCACAGTACAAAGGAACTGACAGATACTTTTAATTAATGTGCTCAGAACCTGATGTATGACACACCTCTGGAGAAAGTGGGACTTGGACCTAGATTATCTAACGCAGATACTGGGGCACTATCACACTGATATACTGTCAAAGATCCCATTTCTCAACTGAACCTTTAAGCCAAATTCCTACTTGCTTTCTCAAATGTATGCAAATAATTTCTTAGTAAGCATTTGGTGTATACATTGAAAGTGTAAGTCAATAATTTCATAGGGGCAGCACGGTAGCACAGTGATTAGCACTGCTGCCTTACAGTGCCAGAGACCTGGGTTCAAATCCAGCCTCGAGCAACTGTGTGTGGAGTTTGAACATTCTCACCTTGTCTGCTAGGTGCTCCGGTTCCCTCCCACAGTCTAGAGATGTGCAGGTTAGAAGGATTGGCCATGCTAAATTGTCCTGTCGTGTCCAGAAATGTGCAGGCTCGGTGGATTAGCCATGGGAAGTGCAGGGTCATAGGACAGAGTGGGGGGTGGGATGCTCCCAGAGTTAATTTGGATTCGATGGGCTGAATGGTCTCTTTCAGCGCTGTAGGGATTCTATGATTCCATGATTCTAGTAGTAATCAAAGGTGGAAGAATGTGCCCAGACCGACATTTAGCTCTCTATCAGCACCACTGACTCATAGTACTTGGCAGTTTCTTTAACAGCTATTTGTGGGATCGTGCCATGCGAGAGTCGGCTGCCATGACTCCCTATCATTGCAATGGTGATTACGTTCCAAAAGTACTTCAAAACCTGTGAAAACATTTGTGTGCCCTGAAAGCCACAGAAGCTATTGTGGTGCAATCAGTAAGATCAAGTGTGCATCGCGTGTCAATTTTAAATCAAATATTTCTGTACAAATTAAAATATTTATTGGTTACTGAACATGAAATGGCATTAAGGCTCTAGTCAAACTAAGTAAGTACTATATTAAAATATTCATCAATAGACATAATCCAGGAAATTAAGAGTGCTTTAGTCAAAGCATATGAAGGATATGGTAAAGTCAAGTTTCAAACTAATCTTGTAACCCTCAGAAAATAAACATTTTAAGGACTTGAATTAATTCTGAGTTAAAGGGACTTGCACAATAAGGCTGTCTGCAATGTATTTCATTTGGTGCTTTCGCTATCAGGATTTCAATAAAATTTTCCCAACTTAAATTCACAGGTAATATTGACTGGCAAGTTTGTATCACATTATGCTCTAAAGCACAGCAAAGGATTTCTTTTTTGTACATTCATCAGCCTGATATATCATTATGCAACTTTAAAAAAAGTCTTTTTAGCCTTCAAATGTCCAACACCTACACAGCATAAATAAAACTCTTACCATTGTATTTCAAAAATTGAGAATCAAAAATGAATGTTTCCTAAGCTTAGAAGTCTATACAGATCATAAAAATTAGCTCAAAATGTACATTTTTATCGTTGGCACAATCTCCATGAATTCTTCAAAAGAAAGCATATGTGACACATTTAGTTTTAAAAGGGAATCTAATTGCTGTTACAACAAACACATGTAAAGGATGCATTCATCAATCTTCTAAAAAATTGGGTTTTGAAAACAAACAGCTAATTTTTGTGAAAAACCCCTCTCTCCCCAATGATGTGCATCATACGATATTTTCTCAGGTATGTCTTAGGTTCCTCTCATCCCATTAATTTAAACTTGCATGGTTGAAGACCGAGCACAGGTTGCTTGTGAATTTTAAAAAGCGAGCATCAATCTCAAGAGACCAATTGCTAGCATTAATGAACATTTCCTTTCCATTAATATCCTTGTGAAAAGATTGTTCCAGTTTTCTGGAACTGAAAGCAGCCTTTGACACAGTTGACAAATGTGATGACTTTAAACATGTCCCCTTGCTTGGAAACTGCAAACCAACAGCCCTTCAAAACAAAATCCGATTGATAATTTTTGTTCCAAAAGAATTATCATTTCAAATTACAAAATAGAGCTTTTAGTGTATAGGTAGTTCTATAACACGATAGTTGCATACTTGTGTGACCTCGCCATAGAAAATCGCATTATAGGGAAATCGCTATACTTGTACAGCAGAAAGTTCGCATTACCCAAACAGCGCCCACTATTCATCAATCGCGTTACAGCAAATTCGCATTAACGAAGCATGCGTTATAGCAGAACTACCTGTACCTCCTTTTAAAATAGACCTCACCTCAGTGATGGCACCTCTGAAGTCAGAAGACCATGGGTTTAAACCTCACTTCAGAATCTGGACCACTTACTCCAGACAGGCACTTCAGTGCAGTCCTCAGTGAGTGCTGCATTGTCAGAAGTGCTCTCTTGAGATGTTAAAGCAATACATTGTCTGCAGACTTAGGCTTATATAAAAAAAACCATGCAACATTTCTTGAAGAGCAGTTCTTCTCTTGTCCTCACTAATTTATGCCAACATCAATAAACAAGCTGTTATCTTGTTATTTTTTTTATTATTGTTTTTAGGACCTCGAGATGGAAAGGCGAGGTTGTGGGCTACATATGACGATGACAAAACTTTAAATGATCCTTAGTTAGCAGGAAAGCACATGAATACCGAATTACTCTGACAACCTGCAGTTTGGAAAGAAAAATATAAAAGCTCAATTTAAATGCCATGTTTACCATAGACCTTTTTTTATGCTAAATACTTACAGGTCTCATTTGTCGGGATGTCACAAAGTATACTTAGGGTTATATAAAAAAAAATCACTTTTGCAGAAATCACCTAAAAAGCATAGATCCATAAAAAGAGTTGCTAAGAAAATCACATCTGCTTCTCATAAATGATAATTCTTCACCTTAAAATTCGTCTGTTATCAGTGACACACCCATATGACCAACATTTAACCCTAAAATTGTACAGTTTAAAATATTCTCCACAGATACAATTCACATTTGAACACAAGTCATGAAAAATCTACAACTTACTCTGTGCAATGTTAACAATGTTTCACTCAAAACAATTCAAAGATTGCACACGTTCAATGAGGCATTCTTTTCAATAAGTGTACCTGTACGGGAATATTGCACCTCAGCATTATACAAACAGCATCATCACAAGGGGAGGCAGGACATTCAACAGATCTCATTGCAAGGCACAACACTGTCCTTGTTACACCTGGCAAAATAGTTAGAATCAAATACAATATGGCAACGATTGATGAGTTGCATTTATATAGCTCAGCATGGTTTCAAAACAATTCACTTACAACAAACTACTCTGAAGTAGGGTGGCAAGTATGAGAGAAGCAGAGTATTTATTTCGTGTGGAGTAAGATATTACAAACATCAAGAATCAAACACTTCACCTGTTTTCAGGAACACTGGTTAACATTGGAAAGTAGGCCAATATTTGAATTAACAAGACCTTTGTCCATCTATTTTGGTAGTTTTGGTGAGTGATAGAGACTCAGTTAAAACATTTCATCCAATGACAGTGCCACCAACAGTGCACCACTTCCTCAGCACAGGAGTAAAGTGTCAGCTTAGATTATAAAATCAGACCAGTACTTCGGGCTGAAACCCAAACCTTCTGGTCCAAGCTCAAGAATGCTATCAATAAAGCCAAACAGACAGTCTTACAAAGGCTGACTGTTCTGAAAATGCTTGATTACTTAATTACTAATAGACATAAGTCCATCATATTATAGTGATCAATACTGGCAGAATATAATAAACTGGAGACACAATAATAATGTGTCTTCTTTATAAACCTTTAAGGTTTTAAATACAGCCTTCCCTTATTTAGGGCCCTTAACGTGTGCTTAAAAAAAAGTTGCGCTAAATGAAAATGAGTGATATGAAAATCACTTCTCCAGAATAAAACATGTAATCAGCATAGAATGTGCCCCTGATCTGTAAGATTTACATTAATAACCTACTGAGTGCCTTGGACCACACTGGCTCAAAAGTTCTCAAGACTTTCTCCTTGGTTATTGCTCACCAGTTCCCATCTCATTCTACCAACTGTCCCTCTCTGGACCCTCAACTGAGGTATTGAATTAAATCACAATCTGTAACCTCGGCCAAACATCACCAACAGAGGCCTGCATTTGTTTACACCACTGCTTCCAAAGTAGTGGCTGTAGACTGCCAAGTAGAGCATACAACTTCCTGTCGTGGGTACAAATACTAGGAACAGACTCACGATGTGAATCTGCTTGGTATAATGTTAAGACTAAAAATTATTATAACGCCATTAAAAGGTTTAACGATCCATTGAGCATTTAAACTTAGCTCCACACCGAACTACCCAGTTATACTCCACTGATGTGAAACTTAACTGCTACCTGAAAGCCTCCCAGAGGCAATTTCAGAGATAGTAGGAACTGCAGATGCTGGAGAATCCGAGACAACAAGGTGCAGGGCTGGATGAACACAGCAGGCCAAGCAGCATCATAGGAGCAGAGAGGCT